TTGTCCAAATTAAGTTCTTAGCAATGCATATTACTAATCAAAAATTAAGTTTTGATATATTTACAGTAGGAAATTTACAAAATATCTTCATGGAACATGATCTTTACTTAATATCCTAATGATTTTTGGCATGAAAGAAAAATCAATCATTCTGACCCATACAATGTATTGTTGGCTATTGCTACAAATATACCCCAGTGACTTAAGACTGCTTTTGTGCTGCAGGGTCACATATATGTGTGTCATGACTTCAGTGCTGGAGGATGTTTTGAAGGCAACTTTATCAGATGGATCTCAAATATTCAGGAAGTGCATCTGATCAGTTAAAACTGGTGAAAACTGTGCATTTTTTGTTTGCATGATGTGTTTGTACTCTTTATTCACACCAAGATTAAAAAGCTCTTTTGTTTGAGACTCTTCTGGAAGTTCAGGCAGTTCAGGTCGGTTTACTCCTGCACGCCGCGGGGTGTCTGTGTTGTTTTCGTATGTATTGTACAAGTTGTGCTTCCAGCTGCTGGACTGGGATTGTTTTGTATTGTAGAGCAGCTCTGGTTTACTGTCACACAAACCCATCAGCGACCTGGAAACAGTTCACACGCTACACACACACGGCTTTCCATAGTCACATGTGTAGTGAGATTACAGCCGTAGACGTGTTCACATGTGCGATCTCCTGTCACGGCAGGGTCTGATGTAAGCTAAACTCTGTGACATGCTGTTGATTAGCATAGAAATTCATTTTACCCCACACTTTACATATACATTTATGCATTTGGCTTTTATCTAGAGCGACTTACAAAAAGAGCAGGAACAATCACTTGCTGTTCTTCTGTCACTTTGTCATATTTACAGTAATGCACTTTGCACGTTGCATCAGGATAAACATTTTAAATATATATATAATAACTCTTAAACATTCAATCTGTTCAGCAACCTTTGATTCATTTTAGTGAGTCAGTTCAAATTGTGAATCGGATCAAACAGTGATTCAATGACTCATTTGCTTTGTTCATTTTTGTACTTGTTTTGTCCTTTTTCAATATTTTTTGTTTTGTATTTTCTGTATTTTTTGTGTTTATGTACTAAAGCAAAAACATGTCTTGATTATTTTAACTTGATTTGAACTGCTTTAGTTTTAGTCTTTTCAGTTTACTTGGATATAAATTATGAGTAATATAAATTATGTCATAAATAAATATGACATAAATATTGAGATACACTGTAAATATTGCATGTCCAAATATTGTGTGCATTATATCCAAAACATCACTAATGAAATTGCCGTGTGTGTGTGTCTGTGTGTGTGTGTCTGTGTGTATGTGTCTGTGTGTGTGTGTGTGTGTCTGTGTGT